CATTCACACGCAAGGTTTTAACCAAGGAAAGCCGCCCTTCTGCGAGAACCTAGAGGCCAGAAAACTGAAGAATGGAAAAGGGAAGCTTGTCTTCCGTGCGGCACATAAAAGGCCGGTGATGGCACGCTCTCAATCCAGAGAAACCGCAGCGCGGGAGGAGCCGGCCCCAGGCCCCAGTAGGGGGCGCCGGAGCGCCACACTGCAGCATCCCGACGGCGGAGCGCAGCGGCCTCGGTCGGGCTTTGCTCGCGTCTGCCGCAGTCCTTCGGCCGCTAGTCGGAGCGAGTGAGGAGACCCCCGGCTTCTCCACCAGCACTTCCACCCGTGTTCGCAGCCCAGCAACTCGGAACGCAACCTGCAGACTGGGCTGCGCAGCGCAGGAGGGGTTCGTAGGCTTGGATCCGAACTTGCCGTTGACTGCAGCTCTCCCCGGCCTGCAGAGTGTGAACAGGTGAGTGTCACGCACGTGCCCAGGTGGCACTTTCGGGAAGGCTCCCTGCAACCCCTTCCGAGCTCCAGAGCGCGCGGCCTTTGGCTCAGTACTCCTGGTCACTGGGTGCTCCGAGGGCAGCTTTGGGGTTCTCTGAAAGCGAAATGTGAGCGCCAGCGCCCAGGGTTTGACAGCGCTCTCTGAGCTGAAAATGCCTTTTTAACTTAGACTTCATTTGCTCCCTAGGTTGAGAGCAAGTGGGCTTGTTTGTTTATCAGCCCAAGATACCTGTCGCTTTGAGAGCAACGCTGTAGCCAGGGGGTTTGTACAATTAACCTCATCAATTAACCGTGTGAAGCTGCGTTGTGCTAAAATGAGGGAGAATTCCTGGTAATGTGATCAGGAAAATTTGATTTCAGAGCTAGAGAAGAGGTAGCCCAAAGAGAATCTCATTCCCACGACCAGACTAGATTCTTTGCTTCCCTAAACAGCTGCACATTATTTAGATGACACTATAAATCCAGAAGTTAGAAAAGCTAATAGCTTATGAAGTTGCATGCTTTTTTCCCCTCAAGAGGAAGTAGGAAACATGATCCTTGATAAACATAGTCTTGGAAATGATTTATTATGAATGAAACATTTCTTTAAATAATAATATAATAAAAAGGTTATTAATGATCTAAATATCATAAGTCTAATAGATTGTAAGCTCCTGGAAGGTAGCCACTTTTTGTATGTACGAACAGTGTATTATACATCACAAGGAGAAGGCTCATTAAGTGAAGAATGAATGAATGTATTAATGATAACACAGAATTTGGAAGCTAACTTTATTTCCTCCCTTCTTTCTAAGCTTTCCTTTGGTTACTTTATGTTTAGAAAGGAAAAAAACAAAAAAAAACTCATTTCATCTTTAATCTCCTTGATATCTAGATGTGACTTTAGCTTTAGGAGTGAGAGGAATTCAGAAGTTTTTGTCCTAATAAAGTACAATCCACATAAAAACTGAATGGCAGCTTCTAGACCCAGCCAGAATCTTTCTGGACAGCAACATTAGAATAAGTGAGTTTTCTTAGATCCACGTTATGGAAGGTCTAAGGCTATGAATTATTGTGAAAACTAGAAACTGGACAACAGGCCATTTATTACAATTTATGCATTTTTCTTTATTATCTTTGTCAAATGTAATTTTTCACATTTTCATATTAGAAATAAAATGTGTGTCAGTTTTATAAATCTTCCTTCAGGTGATTTTTCTGAACATGAGGTTGACAGTAACCAGCTGTAACTTTATTAGGTTATAAATGAAAAACACACTCAATTTCTCTTTCTTATGTGACATTCCGATGTCCTTGAGGCTATTTGGAAGCTACTGAAATATTTAACTTGAATGTTTTTTAAAAATCATATTTGATGACTACTTTCATAGAGCAAAAATCAGATGCCTACTTGGATTTTAGATGCATGGGAATGAACGGTTTTGCATGAAATATCGAATTATTGTTTTACACAAGCACCAGACACTTGCATGTTCTGTGTTTCAGAGAAATGCTTGCCAGCAACTATTCTCATTTAGAAATGATATGATTAATATATCTTGATATAGTATGCTTCTGTGATTCTTCTGCGTTGAAGCATTGAGTCTTAAACATAGGGGCCTTTTCTTAATGAACGCACATAAAGTAACAAATAAGGACATCTTTTTATCTTCAGCTCAAAGTATGGGACTGGACACATTGCAGATGTTAAAGCTTCTGGGTTTTGTACTATTAATGATTACGGAGAAGATTTTTCATCGTTGGGGATGAAGTAAACAACAGCTAATGTTAATGTTGACCTTTTCATCCTCCAGAGGAAGCTATGGCACTTTGGAAAGCAGTAAATACAAAATTTGTTAGGTACAGGCTGATGGCTTAAATGCATAATGAAAAAAAAAAAAAAAAAAAAAAAACACAACTGCCTGCTAATGTCTCTGTAGAAATACATTTCCAAATGGATTTTTATTTTTTTTCTTTCTCTTTCTCGAGAGGCACTTTTTGAAAATTTGTAGATGATAAAAAGCTGGAAGGAACAGTTAACACATCTAGATTACAGATTTGTATTTAAAAAATATCTTGACAGACTGGAAAAAATAGATGAAGACTGATGCAGTTAAGTTTAACCAGAAAACCAAACCCACTGCTGTCAAGTCAATCCCAACTCATAGTGACCCTGTAGGACAGAGTAGGACTGCCCCATAGGGTTTCTAAGGCTGTAAAGCTTAGCAGAAGTAGACTGTCACATCTTTCTGGCTGGTGGGTTGGCACTGCCAGCCTTTGGTTAGCAGCTGAGCGCTTTAACCACTACCACCAGGCCTCCTGGGTCAATTAAGTTTAACAAGGATAAAAGTAAAGCCCTGTATTTAGGTTTAAAACATTGATTGCAGAAGTTCAGAATAGAGGATTCTTCAATTCATGTAAAAGATACGAGCCTTAATCTGAGGGCTATGTTACGCTTCAACTACAATGTCCAGATAACCAAAAAACAAACTAATACTGTTAATATTAAGTTAATTCTGATTCACGGCAACCCCATGTGTTACAGGGTAGATCTGAGTTCCATAAAGTTTTCTGGGCTGTGCTCTTTACGGAAACAGATGTGCCAGGTCTTTCTTTCATAGTGCTGCTGGGTGGGTTCAAACCACCAACCTTTTGGTTAGCAGCCAAACCCAAACTGTTTGTGCCATCCAGGGACCCTATAATGTCCACATACAGATGTTAAAAATCTGAATGAACTTTTGCTGTGTCAGTCTATCGGGTCACATTTTGAGTCATGTATGTACTTCTGGCTGATGCTTTTTCAGAGAGGCTGAAATGGCAAATGCCAGAGGAGAGCACTGCATATGGTGAAAAGCAGTTACAAGGGTCAAAACACCAAAAATCAGAACAGACAACCCATGAAGAACAAGTGAAGATGCTGGGCCTTGTTTTCCTAGAAAATAGAAGCCTAGGGTGGAGCAAAGGGTCCTAGTACCTGCCAGGCTACTTGAAGAGTTCTGAGTGAAAGAAAAAGTTGACTTGTTTTGTGTTATTTCATAGAACAAAACCAGGACAAATGAGTGGAGGTCATAGGGAGACAGGTTAGAGCTCAGTATAAGAAAGATAGTGCTACTCGGAGGTGCCTGGCTCAAAAGGAAACAGCCTTCAGAGGTAACCGACCTCTCGCGGGCAAGTGGTAAGTCAGACACTGGGTAACCAGCTGGTCATAAAGGATTCCTGCAGTGGCTGGAGGATTCTTTAGTTGACCCCAAGATTCTTTCCAACTTTACATTTCCATGTTACTATGACCCCAGGTGTCATCCCTAAAGTATCCATCTATGTAAAGTGTGCTTACATTGTTATAAGGAGTCACTGGGTGGTGCAGAGTTAAGAGCTCAGCTGCTAACCGAAAAGTTGGAGGTTCAAGTCCATGGAGAGGCACCTCAGAAGAAAAGTTTCGTGATATACTTCTGAAAAATCAACCACTGAAAACCCTATAGAGCACAGTTCTACTCTGACACATATGGGGTCTCCATGAGTTGGAATTGACTCGATAGCAACTGGTATTGATTATCAAAACCAAACTCATTGCTGTTGAGTCGATTCTGACTCATAGCGACCCTACAGGACGGAGTAGAGCTGCCCCATAGGTTTTCCAAGGCTGTGATCTTTACAGAAGCAGTCTACCACATCTTTCTCCCAAAGAGTAGCTGGTGAGTTCGAACCAACCTTTCGGTTAGCAGCTGAGTGCTTAACCACTGCACCACAATGTCTCCTTTGGTACTGATTACATTGTTACAGTACCATGTCCCAAGTGTTAGGACAATGCCATAAGCTAATTTACTTGAGGTGGGTCCGTAGAAAAGGAATCAGAACTCTCAGGGTATTGCATTTATCTTTTGGGTAACTTTTGTATATCTTTTGGGCATATTTTGTGTATCTTGGGCATTGCGCCCAGCAGGGTATAGAAATATAATCTGGCCATTGTGTATCAATACCTGTAACATGCGTACCTGTCTTTTTTGGGGGGCTGATCATGTGCTCTAGTGTGAATTGGGGTAAAATTTAACCTTGAAATGCAAAATCGGTTGTGTTACGCTGGGGTTGGCTAATGTGAATGTAAATTATGTCGCCCAAATGAAAAAAAGAGGCTTCAAAATGAGTCTCCCCGTCACAGGTGTTTGTACATTGAATATTTACAGGCATATGGTAAATGTATGTATTCACATATTTTAAGCATTTGTTAGCGATTATTGCCAAGAAACAATCCTTCATAAACAAATTCCTTGAGGAAGTATTTTATAAAACGTTATTGTGTATAGTGAAAAACATATGTTTTAGAACCAAACACACCTAAGTTCTATGCCTAGCTCTACCATTTGTTAGTTGAATAGTTTACAATAAATTACTGTACACCTCTCACAGGATAGTGGTGGAGACCAAGTTAGAAAATGTTGATAAAGTGAATGTTGGCTGGTATATAGTGGATATTTATCTAAGAGTAATTCCTTTCTCCAGTCATTTACGAATTCCCAACTCTCTTTTGTTTAAGAATTGTAGACTCTTCTACGATTGCCAAGATTTGCAATGATATGGTGAAGCCAAAGGCTGGAACCAAAAAGATTTTCTCAGCTCTTTAGTTTTAACAACAGTGAATTGTCCACCAACACTCATCATGGCTAAAAGTGCAGAGGTCAAACTGGCAATATTTGGGAGAGCAGGAGTGGGCAAGTCAGGTAAGATTTTGTTATTGTTATTGTTGCTCTTGCTGCTGTTGTTGTTGTGTGCTTCTTTCTTACTACTGACTCCTTGGATTGGGTGGGGCAGGGGTGGTTGGCATTTCTCATGTTCTTATGTAATGGTCTTTTAGATGAAGTCACTTTCTTTTTATCCAGAAATTTTGTTTCAAATAACCAACTTTTCTGTACCCTTTTTCTTGTTCATGATAAAGTAACTTTGCTGATAACACACCACGCAGTGCCTACATCAGAGGTCTTGGTATTCTGAGGACGGATATTAAACAAACGTCCAAAGAAATCAGCTTGTGAAAATTAAAAAAAAACAAAAACTTGCTCTTTTCCTTCTACTGTATGATATCCTAAAGGACAGGTTTTATATCTCATTCATCTTGATATTCTTAGCAATCAGCCCAACACCAAGAATATGTTGGAGGCTTAATAAACGCTTGTTGAATGAATACATCTTTACCAGAGACAGATCGCACTATTGTCTGACACGTCTAAATTTAGGGAAGACTGGTGAAAACTTACGAGTGCGTGACTTCAAGCAAGACAGCTATGGCCGGTGCCTCTGGCGTGAATTCAAGTGATCAGATTCTGGCTAACACTGATAATTCAGAGGCTTTTTTGTTCCCCACCTAAAAGAAGGTTTGTAGACCTTTAAGATTAAAGGTGAAATGGTGGAATTGAACATGTACCTAATCCAATTTGAAAAATATATTTGGGTGTTAATGGTTAAAGATTGCTAAAATAGATTCTGCTAAAAAGTCAGGGCAAGATGACTTTTCAGATAATGTTGCCTTAGTCTCTTACTGGAGGAAAGAACAATACTTGGTTTTGCACACAGAGCTTTTAGTTCTCAGGAAGGAACTCAAACAGATATCTACTAGGTGGATTTGTATAGAGGGAGGTCCCATTTGGAAATAAAATGGATAATCCAATACAACAGGTAATCCACATAATCCTAACAAATATATTAAAAAAAAAAAAAACGTTGCTGTGGAGTCGATTCCAACTCATAGCGACCCTATAGGAGAGAGTAGAACTGCCCCATAGGATTTCCAAGGAGTGGCTGGTGGATTTGAACTGCCGACCTTTTGTTTAGCAGCCGATCGCTTATCCACTGTGCCACCAGGGAGCCAAACTAATACATATCTTTTAATTCTGTGACCAACCTCTCTGTCCTAACCAGGCTCTCTAGTTTGATTTCAGCAGTAATCTCCCCTAAGTCTTTTTTTCCCTCTTTTTCAAGAGTGCTCTTTTCTGCTGTCACCCTTTTCTTCTACTTACTGCTTGCTCTTGCCTCTGACAGAAACCAAGCAAAGAAAAATAGATAGTTGTCAAGGCTGAGCAACTGCCAGCCTTTGCGAGATTGAAGATAGTTAAACTCCTCCCCATTAATCTCCTCAGTGTTTCCTGATGGCGTGAGAACCTAATTTCTGTACTGGTAGAAGGATCTGGAGAATGAGGAAACTGTTCCTGTGAGTGGAGGAGGAAGGGAAGGGAGTGTGTGGGAAGGTCTGTGCTGCCAGCAATACTTGTCTAAGGCCTTCCTTCATGAGTGAAGGGTCTAGGCCTGAGGCTGGCTGTTTATTACTCATTCACTTGAAATTTACCATAGGCAATAAGGGAAGGGACTGTTAAGGGAAGGGGCTTTTTAACCATAGATAATTTACCAAAATAAACTTCACATGGATAAAAAATTTAAACATAAAAATAAAAATTGCACTAAGAGAACCACCAAGCTGTATAATATCCATCCCTCTCCCATCTAAACTACCTCAGAGCAACCTGTGTACCTCCTCTGATTCAAGGCTGATCCATCTGCCTGAACGTAGACTATAGTTTCCTTTGTCTTCTCCAGAATCGTTTCATTCGGTTATTCCTCTCATTCTTTACTGTTTTCCCTGAAGCATTTCTTTGTCTACTGCTCCGTTTTTCTCTTTCCTCAAGCTTATTGCAAGTGGTCGCTGCCTTGGCTGTTAACTTTCTTACCTCCCGTACGTTGCTTAAAACATGATGTTCTTCCATTGTAACCGTGTTACTGGAACTGCTTTCTCTCACGTCACCACCAGTCAACAACCAGCAAACCTAATGAACATTTTCCAGTTCTTACCTTCTTAGACATCTTTTGACCATTTGACACAGTTAATCGCTTATTAATTCCTTCCTTCCTTGGGTCCCATGACATCATACTTCTTGGTATTCCTGATACCTCTCCATCACCACTTACCAGCTACCAGGATGGGCTGCTCTTCAAAAGTTAGCACTCCTGGGGTTCTATCTATCATCATCTTTTATTCTTACTCAACACCTTCTTCCTAGGGGTGATTCCTCACACCCAGAGCTGAAGCTAACACCTGCACACCAAGAACAAATTCTGCTGACCTAAGTTTTATTTTGTGTAAAATGCAGGGGTTGAACTCATTCATTAGAGCCCTTTCTTACTCTAAAATCCTATGGTTCTTAATTAATGAACCTTCTTTGGACAGGTTTCTCTATCTGCCTTATGTCCATTTCACTGTTTGTGTTTATTTTTATGTATTTAGGAATTACAGTGATAGACTATATGCTTTTAAACAATTGGCTTTTTATGTCATCTATACACAGACAGTGTTTTTCTATTTCAACATTAGACTGTTTTCCTGAAACTTTGTAACCTCACATCACCTTTAAAAAAAGTATTGGTTTGACTTATGCACGGGAGACAATTTTGAGACCCTTTCCCATGGTTCAGTGAAAATAACCACAGGCTACTTCATATCCGTCAATGTTGAAAACAGAGTAGCAATATTGAATTCATGCTTATCTAATTCTTTATTAATATAGATATACAATGTCTCTGCATAGCCATTGTACCACATGTTCGCCTTTCTATTGGAAAAGCTGTATCAGTCTTATGAGTAGACCTCTGCAAGAAATTATACTTGCTGGTGGTACAGTGGTTAAGAGCTATGGCAGGCTTTGGCTGCTAACCAAATGTCAGCAGTTCGAATCCACCAGCTGTTCCTTAGAAACCCTATGGGGGCGCAAATCTACTCTGTCCTATAAACTTGCTATGAGTAGAAATTGACTTGACTGCAATGGGTTTGGTTTGGTTTTTGGTTGGAATGTGACTGTAGATCCTCACTTATTCAAATGCCCCCCAAGAATGGTCATGAGCTTCCCATGGTCCCAAACGGATACATTATCTGAGCTGTGGGATTTTTAAGGATTTACAATTTAATTTCTCTTCAGTCACCCAGCTAGGGAGGCACCCATAAGGGAGCCAGTTTGAGATCTTGGAAGGGTGGAAGCTGAGTATCTCTGATTTGACCTGGGCCTGTGTGAATTTCCTCAGAGGCCTCAATGAAACCTGATAATAAACCTAGAATCCCCTCTACTTTTCCCCACTCTCAGTACCAAATTGGAATTTGGGGTAAATAAGATCATATTGTCCATTTGCTAAAATAGAGAGTAATATGGCTAGGAGTCAAAAGCAAGAGCTCTGAAGCCAAACTGTTAGGTTTGACTCACAATCCCACCCTTCACTAGCTATGTGAACTTGCCAGCCTTGGCAAGTTAACTTACCATCTTAATTTCCCCAACTATACAAAAAGGTATCATAGTGCCTATCTCAAGAGTTGGGGCCCTGGTGGTGCAGTGGTAAAAAGCTCGGCAGTTTGAATCCTTGGAAACCCTATGGGGCAGTGCTACTTTGTCCTATAGGGTCACTGTAGGGTCACTATGAGTCGGAATCAACTCCATGGCAACAGGTTTGGTTTTCTGGTTGGTAACTCAAGAGCTGTTGTTAATACTGAATGTGTTATTACATGCAAGTTGCTCAGAACAGTATCTGATCCATAGTTAAGTATCCAACTATTAGTTTATATTATTATAATATTTTGAGGTATGTTTATTTTAATGGAGCCCTGGTGGCACAGTGGTTAAAACACTCTGCTGCTAACTGAAAAGTCGGTGATTCAAACCCACCAGCCGGTCCATGGGAGAAAGATGTGACAGTCTGCTTCTGTTAAGATTTTCAGCCTTGGAAACCCTATGGAGCAGTTCTACTCTGTCCTATAGGGTCGCTATCAGTTGAATCGACTCAGTGGCAGTGGGTTTTGGGATAGGTTTATTTTAATTTGTAAGTTAACTAGTAAAAGCATACAATCCAAGATATGTTTATATTCAAGTGAGTATTTTGGTTTTCAGTAAAAGTTGAAACGCTTATAAGGCAAAACCTTCAGATCCCTACACAGCACACCCTCAATTCTCTCTCTCTCTCTCCCTCATCCAAAGTCTGCTTAATGTCTGTTGCAGTTTGACCACTGATGATTATAACAATACTTGTCATAGCTTATATACATTCTTGGAAAAATAGCCAGAAATATGCGAGTGTTATCAATAAATTAACACCCTTAAATTTGAAAGTACTTTCTGGTATGTGGTATGTGAGCTTCCTAAGCCCAGGTAATAGATAGACTCTCTATATTTAAAATAGAATTTAACATTAACCAGCAAGTTTTGGTTGACAGGTTGACCATAGAATTGTCAGTACAGTCAAAATTTAATAATGTGCTAATTATTTAAGGAGCACTGATAAAAAATATGTGCTAAAGATGTGTAGTGTGTGTGTGTTTATGAGAGAGGGAGAGAGAGAAGTATTTACATTTACATGGGCTGCTGTATTTGACAGATTCGTCCTTCTGTCTAATTTTACCACAGTTCTGTCATCCAGTGAGCTTGCTAGCTTCGGAGCACCGTTGTGAGCATGTGTGAGCTGCAAAGCGCAGGGTCTTCCTTTTTCCCAGCCCACTCCATCTATTCCCACCCTGGCAGGGTAAACATTTACTTTCACTGGGTAAATGCACTACGTAGGGCATAGATTGCCTTCCTTGTGTGCATCAGCCTAAGTTTTGACAGGCTCCCAGTAATTAAGACAATGCGACCTGCCAATAAACCTAGAATGCACACCATATTTATTTAGGGTAAACGAGTGCTTCCTGGATTCATAT